ATCCCCGGAATTCAATCAAAATTGAATCCCGGGGATTTTATTGTTTACCATAAAATTTTGAGATTTGCCAAAAAAAGCATGTCAAGAATCGATTTAATGGCAACAAGTTGTTGCAAAGTGGATTTCATCAGAAGCCGGTTCTATCAGAAGTACAGTAGACGTTAACAAGCATAAAAGACCTGAAAACTACTGTGTGCTTCCCCAGGTGTTTACAGGTAACAGTGACAGAGACAGCCTGGTGACGCACGTGTTGACAGACTACAGCGGACCTGTCCACGCCCGTTACGTCAAGTTTCACCCCGTCACGTGGTACGGCTGGATCGGTATGAGAGCAGACATCGGGGAAGGTACTCAGATTGATTTTTTCTTTAAATCACAGTAACTAAATAATTTAGTAACTAAGTAACTTAAATAACTTTCCTGTGGTCTGGAAGGAATGATAATAATAATACTGATAAATATTACAATAACAATACTCTTAATAACGATAATAATAATAAATGAATGATAATGATAATAAATTTCTATAATCACCGATTTTATGAGGTGATTATAATAACTGACAGGTCCTTTAACACCATGTACACCGAGGAGCAGGCCGGTCATTAACGTTATTTGATATAGCCGATCCAAACTTGCACACTATAAAGTGAAATATTACTGCATAGCACATACAAGCCCTACAAAATTATATAACAGACCGTTATGGTCACTTCCTTCTATTTTACGTCCGCTAGCCACTGTTACTGTGCACCTTTTCCCGATTCACTAGAACCCCAACAATTAGGTTCCAATATATTCACAAATGCATGGTTGGTGACATTACGGCACGATAATACCCCGAGGCCAGGAGAATATTTCTTTAAGAATATAACGAATACTTCGATTCGATATCCACAGTTGCTCCAGTTGGCTTCTGGCCGCTAAACAGGCATACTCAGCTGCGTGACGTCAGCGGATACGGAAATGACGCAACCGGTGTGGGCGTGTCTCTTGGGAACGGTGTACACGGTGAGAGCGAAGGGGCGTACAACTTGTCCGGTAGCAGCACCTCCTACATCGAGATCCCCAACAACGGGGCACTGGATACCCGGTACTCGATAACAATCCTGGCCTACGTGTACCCCACAGGGACAGATGGGCCCATCGTTAACTACAGAATCAACGACAACAGTTTTAACCTCTGGCACTTCAACGGGAATGAATTGTATATAGGGTAAGAGACTATTAGGGTTGCTTTTTAAGCATGGTGATATCTATCTATCTATCTATCTATCTATCTATCTATCTCCCTGTCTATCCATCTATTTTCCTCTCTTTCCCTCTCCACTCACTCTGTCTCTCTCTCTCTCTCTCTGTCTCTCTCTCTGTCTCTCTCTATCTCTCTCTGTCTCTCTCTCTCTGCCTGGCTCTCTCTCTCGATATGGTGTAAAATGGTGGAGATGCAAACTGATCGAAGCCGGTATGGAGGACTTGTACCACACAGGAAAACAATATGACATCCTGTATCAATGTGAAGGTTGAAGCTGATGTGTTAGCGTAACCGCTGATCCTGGCTGTACCGAACTAGTAAAAGAGTTTCTTAGAATCAATTTGAAACTTTAACCCCCATGTCTTCCCATTTGCTTTCCTGCTAGCATGTGGACCCGTGACCACGCCTCCTCGGTTCAGTTGAGTGCGGCCACACTGAACCAAAACGAGTGGAACTTCGTCGGCGTGACCTACAGCTATCCTTTGGGTAGGGTCAAATTGTGGCATGACGGGATAGAAGTAGGAAGTCTTGCCGTCGGCACGTTCGAGACAGGGACGCACTACGACATCCGCATGGGGTTCAGGGACGGGGCTGATCCCCGGGCTTTCCAAGGACGCATCGCCTGTCTGCAGATATATAACATCCCTTTAAACGGCGATCAGATAAGGCAAGCAGCAGCAAAGTGTAGAGGTCAGTACATGTAGTAAACTGTTCTACTTGTGATCGTACTAAAGCAATAATGAACCTGTCAAAAGTTCGGAGACTTGCTGTTAAGCAATGACATCATCAATCAGGCGTGTGGTTCCCGCCCGAGGAAGTATAATTCTTGCATCTATCTTAACCATTTACCTACCAGTGACACAGCCGGTCGGTTTATGGCGTCTTACCAAGCAGTACGGTCTGACGGACACCAGCGGAAACGGAAATGACGCCACCGGTGAAGCCGTGGCTCTTGGGAGTGGTGTGTTCGGTGAACACGAAGGTTCCTACGTCTTCTCCGGCAGCAGTACCTCCTACATTGAGATCCCAAACGACAGGACACTGGACACTCGTTACTCTCTCACCATCCTGGCCTCCGTGTACCCGACTGGGCAGTCTGGACCATTACTACATTACGGAGACAGCGCGAGCGGCGTCCACATGTGGCAAGACTCCACGTACTTCTTACAAACCAGGTGAGGGAAAGTAAGGATACTATTGATAGCAGTTACGTACTGTCCCGGTAATGACCTAGTAGATTTGTGGATGAGTTACGATTGACAGATTATACAGCTTTAGTTTCCTTAGCCATTACGGCCACAACCTCCATCCATGCAATACACTTGCTAAATGGGAATGATGGTGGAAGTGTGATATAGAAACTTTAAGGTACCGAAGGTAAAGGCTGCAGATGAGCTGAATGTGCTAATAAACTGCAATTCTCCTGCAGTCTCTTAGTGTCACCGAGGAAAGGTAGTGAATGCCATTTGAAACGTCTGGTCCTGTTTAAAATCACATCCAGTTGCTTGAGTGACTGCTTAAAGCAAATAATAAGGATGGCTGAATGTGAAAAAATGCACCTGTTATAATAATTACCTCGCCTTTCTCTCACGTTTTAAGGCTTTTTAGCAGAAATGCAAGCACCAATCAGACCACACGAGCGCAGTGCCTCAAAACTAACCAGTGGAACTTCGTTGGCATAACTTACAACTACAACTCAGGCATCCTGAAGATTTGGTACGAAGGTCTGCAGATCATCAGTACCGACATCGGCGTGTACCAGCTCGGGACCAACCACGCTGTCCGCATCGGTGCCGTGGGGGCCGATTCCTACAGTGGAAGCGTTTGCTGTGTACAGATTTATGACGTTGCCTTGAACGAGAGCGAGATAGAACACGCTGCGACACGTTGTAAAGGTAAGCCAACCATGTTTGAACTATGATGATTGAAAAAAGCGTAGCAAGTGAGGTCTGTTACCCGTCAAATAAAGAAAGTTTAAACGGCAATGAGATCAGGGATACACGCGCAGTAGAAAAATGTAGTGGTCAGTAGTTCAACTTTACTTGAGATTCAATGATAACAATTTCATAAACACATTTTGGAGGAGGTCGTGAATTTGCGTCAGGGGCTTTACGGACCAAGTCACGACACACATTATGACGAGGTTCCCGACAGAAGGGTGTTCACATGGTTCTCTCACTCCTAAAGCTCCTTACCAGTGTAATGTACAGAGCCCAAAAAAGACAGTATTGTCCAAGTCTTACTTACTGCTAGTTTTTACCAGAATCATCAAAGCATTCTAAATTCGAAACACTGTAATTAAACTCGCTATCATTAATGGAATTTGTCTTTTTTTCAACGGGGACCAATGAGCATAAACAGGCCAAGGAAGTATCTAATAGTATCTTAACCGTTTTCCTAGTGGCACAGCCGGTCGGTCTGTGGCGTCTCACCAAGCAGTACGGTCTGACGGACACCAGCGGAAACGGAAATGACGCCACCGGTGAGAACGTTACCCTTGGTAATGGTGCATATGGTGAACTCGAGGGCTCTTACGTCTTCTCCGGCAGCAGTACCTCCTACATAGAGATCCCAAACGACAGGACACTGGACACTCGCTACTCTCTCACCATCCTGGCCTCCGTGTACCCGACTGGGCAGTCTGGACCATTACTACAGTACGGAGACAGCACAAGCGGCGTCCACATGTGGCAAGACTCCACGTACTTCTTAAACGCCAGGTGAGGGCATCTAAGCATGACACGAATGTCTGTTGCGGCGCGCCGCTGTAATTGGCAAGTAGATACTGTTAAGGAAGGTACTATTCAGCATTCTTTCTTTATAGCTTAATTTCAAGCTGAATTCAAATATACACTCAACATGAATTTTAGTCACTTAAGCATATCGAGTCCCTTGACCATTTTTCACAAATAAATGGCAAGGTGTGCATTTTGGATACGGAATAGGACTATTACCGTAGGGGTGTTAAGAAGGCAGTTTACATCAGGGCCCATCAAACTTCTCTGAATCGTGACGGTGGAAGAGTTTCACGTCATCATGCTTCCTACTTCCAGGAAGTCAGCGCAGCTAATTAAACATATGAAGGTGGAAGTTTTACGTCATTAGTGTTCTTTTTGTGTTGAAACAAGTGTAGATGAATATTCAAATAAAACTATGGATTCTTCATCTATTATAATTACATAGCCTTTTCTCTCTGGTGTTTTAGGCTTTTTAGCAGAAATGCAGTCAGAAACCAGACCACACGAGCGCGGTGCCTCAAACCGAACCAGTGGAACTCCGTTGGCTTGACGTACGACTATAACTCAGGCATCCTGAAGCTTTGGTACGAAGGTTTGGAGATCAGTAGTGCCGACATCCGCGTGTACCAGCTCGGGACCAACCACGCTGTCCGCATCGGTGCCGTGGGGGCCGAGTCCTTCAATGGAAGCGCCTCCTGTGTAAAGATTTATGACGTTGCCTTGACGCAGAGTCAGATAGAACACGCTGCAACACTGTGTACAGGTATAATAAGTTTGAACCATGTTTGAACTATTATGAGATTAAAAGAAAAGGGGTACCACATGAAGTCTCACTTGAAGTCAAAACTGATAAAGGGACAACATTGAAAAAAAGAGAACGGATACAAAATTTAGACAGTGGAAACAAGACCACTTGCGCTATTGTCGTAAAGGTTGAAGAAATGAATACACTACTAGTGTTAAGTTAATCTCTTTATCCACTTTCTTAATCCGCTATCACTAGATAACAGCATCGCTTTGGGAAAGCCGACGACACAGAGTAGTGATTATGATGACTCGTCGTTCGCATCTAGAGCCGTGGATGGATACACAGGACCGATTAACCAGTGCACGCATACACAGCTCGACTTTGAGCCGTGGTGGAAGTTGGATTTGGGCGGAAGTTACGTCATCGGAAGAGTACGTCTGCTGAACAGGAGGAACGAATATGGTACGAAAGCAGAACATTTTTCTTAATGCAGTGAGTTTGCTGTTGGTCAATATGATAACTTGTTTAAAGTTTAAACCTTTCAAATTCTCTCACCTAGAGCTTTCGACCAGTCACTCTAGTCTGTCTCGGTAGACTAGCCCAGTGAGACTGTCACGTGGCTTTTTAAGGTGTGAAGTCAATACTGGGTCAAAGGTATCTGTTAGACGATGTCGGCCCCCGTCGCGGTTGATGAAGGGTGATGGGCCCGACGTTAATAGACTACAGAGAATATATTCACTTGCATGAGGCATCGAGCTAAATTCGATGACATACGATTCTATTTGTCACATATACTAGCCATTTTGATATTAAGGCAGCAAAACAAGTGTATACGGGGGCATGAAGTGATTCTTTTGTCATATTGATATTAACAAAAATGGTTACCATGTAATTGACTCAGGAGAGCGCCTTGAAGAGTTCCAAGTTCGAGTTGGAGAGGATTCGGATATATCAAAGAACTCCATCTGCGGGAGAACGACCAATCAGCTTGACGATCCACCCGAGGATCGGAGCATCATCGTCGACTGCGCTCAGCCAATCACCGGCCGTTACGTGTCAGTACAGCTGATCAACCGGACAGACTACCTCACGCTGTGTGAAGTAGACGTGTTCGTCGCTCAAGGTAAGAAAGAATTGTTCTTAGTAATTTAGCCATATTGTAAGGGTAACAGATTGTTCAATGACTCGAAAGGATTATGGAGAATAGCGCTTTAACCTACCAGATTTTACACTACTCCGTTAAATCTTTATGAATTCTCGTACGCACTCCAGTTATGAATTAGAATAAAATTTCTGTGATTTAGATGTATCAAATCAGTTTCAAGTCCTAATTGGGACTTGTTTGTTCTTATGAAGGAAATGACGCTGGATGGTTAACGCTGGACAACAGCACAGTCATCAGCTCGGCAGGGTACCCCTACGATGACAATGTTACTGTTTATGACGCCTATAAGACGATGGATGGGAACCTTTTGACGTACTGGAACCCAATTACTGACGATGACAAACACTATTTCATTATTTATGATTTGAAAGAATATTATTGGTTAACCAAGATCCGCGTGATTAGCTACCAAGAAGATGACGCAGACACTCATCACATTGCCGCCTTCACCATCAAGACAGCGCTGAACTCAACAGGAAGTTGGACAGACGTCACTTCCTTTTCTGGTTTAGTAGGGAGGCAGGTAAAGGCGTTTACAGGTTTTGTGGCAATGAGTCGCTACTGGCAGGTCAACATCACTCAAACGTCAAGCGGCGAGTTTCCAAAGGTGGCCGAGATCCAACTCTACGGGTATCGAGGTAAATACAGAACATTAAAGCTTGTTAAATCACTTACGCATGTGTCTATGGTAATACGTTTTGCTACTCTCAAACTATCCTTGCCCTGATTCGAAAGGACGTGCTGCCTTCAGAAAGAAGTCACGATCAGTTATCATCAAGGTGTATGCGTGGATGGCGATTTCTTATAGCGACAAGTACGCTTTGTGTGCAAGAGCAAATTTTGCGCGCAAGGCAAATTATTTTTAAAAGATTGTGTGACATGTACCTAGATACAATAGGTTATAGAAACATGTACATTGGTGGATTAGTTTCAGGGGCAAGCAGTGCAGCGTACCCAGAGGAACTAACCTATCACTGCAATGGCGACAAGCCGTCCTACGTAACCATGGCTACCAGCGGCACGATAACCAGTGGGGATGATGGGAGGGGGAACTACAGCAGCGACAGTCTGTGCAGCTGGACCATCGAAGCACCGTCTGGCATGGGCGTGTCACTGACCTTCCTGACATTTGACCTGGCCGATGATGGCGACTGCCCATCGGATTACGTCGCGGTGTATGACGGGAGCAGCCAAAGCTCTGCTCTGCTGGGCAGCTTTTGTGAGAGTAACCCTGGCGTTGTGAACAGCTCGTGGAGCTTGATGCACGTTACCTTTGTCACCAACTCATTTCTGGAGGCGTCGGGCTTTCAGGCAACTTTTACGACTACAGGTAATTTTCTGTGGTGCAACAGCAATAATGAAATGACAATACAGTTCTTTTGATGTAGTCTGTTTTGTTTTTCTTAATGTGAACAGCTTACAGTCTAGTGCACGTGCAGCTAGTAGAAAAATGCTATAGACACCATTGCCACACGATTCCCTCAACAAGGTAACATCCTGACCGCGTTGCCATACATGTACATGCTCGTTTGTGGACAATCAAACATTGTATGTCATCTTACCGTTACCCGTTATTTTTGCAGATATAGACGAGTGTGGAACAGCAAATGGTGGATGTTCACAGAACTGCACTAATACTTTTGGCAGTTTCTCCTGTTCCTGTCAAACTGGCTACGAATTGAACGGTGACGGCGTCTCCTGTGACGGTAAGCTATATACGTCATTGTAGCACTTAGTCTAGTGGACTAGATTTGTCTAAAAACACGATTTTGTGTGTGATGAGAAAAGGAAGGTATTTGCTGTATTTTCATAGACGAGTGTGCCTCAAACAATGGTGAATGTTCCGTAAATTGCAACACCACCTTTGGCAATTTTGAATGCTACAGCGGAGATGGGTATGTCCTAGATGGACATGGCGCGTCATGCAATGGTGCATAACCATGTTTTGTGAAAATAATTTGTGTTGAGCTCCAAATTCTTAACTTTTTTTTGTTCTTTCATCGGTAACGGTCCTGTTATCTCTGATCTCAAAGCTATAGTATTCAATCTCAACGATTCCAAAGCTATATTATACGATCGAGTATAGTATATACGATTGATGTAATATGTTCTAACAGCAGAGATCAGCACAACTGTAGTCCCGCCAACAGTGACAACAGCAGGGGCTGCGACTGCGCCACCACCTACAACAGCTGCACCCAGAAGTACGACAGAGGTCAGCACAACTGTAGTTGGTTCAACGGTGACAACAGCAGGAGCAGCTGTACCAACCGCGCCCCCTACAACGTCCGCTACACCCACCAGTACAACAGCAGGGGCAGCTGTACCAACCGCTCCCCCTACAACGTCCGCTACACCCACCAGTACAACAGCAGGGGCAGCTGTACCAACCGCTCCCCCTACAACGTCCGCTGCACCCGCAACTTCAGAGGCCGGCACAACTGCAATTCGGTCAACAATGCCAATGGTGACAGCAGGGGTTTCTGTTCTCACAACGTCTTCACCAACAACGTCAACGTCTTCACCTAACACATCAGCAAAGACCAGCACAACTGCTGTCCAGTCAACAACAATGGCTGCCGTGTCCAGCACGTCTGCAGCAACGACCCCTGCATCCAACACTACAGCGAAGGCCAGCACAACTGCAGTTCGGTCTACAGTAGGTGCTGGTGTGTCTAGCACATCTTCACAGGCGACACCTGCACCCAACACTACAGCAAGGTACAACACCACGATGGCTCTGTCGACAACAGCGACTTTTGCACCCACCATGTCTCCAACAACGACTCCTGTATCCAACTCTACAGCAGAGACCAACGTCACTGCAGTTCGGTCATCAGTAGGGGCCGTTGTATCTACTGCGTCTCTACCAATGACCCCTGCACCAAACACCACAGCAGAGGCTAATGCTACTAGTGTCGTTCAGTCAACGAAAGCTGCTACTGTACCCACAACGCCAGGTAAGGACTTTCAGTCATCAAGTTATTGTATGTTGCACATGCACGAATTCTTATTGGTAAAAGTGTAAGCAAATGTCAAATGGTCATCCAAACTGTCCAGAAGTTATTGATGCAGAAAAAATCATAGTGCTGACGATTCAGTACTTGGGGGTAGATTTTCACCACTTCTTCCATTTATAGGAGGAAGGTGTATGCGTCACTGCACGTTAAGACAGCGGTAAACGAGTACCGAACAAATACAATGCTTCTGGGCAGGTACTACATACTGGACATTGAACTGTTGTTCGTTTGTCTCTTTTGACAGATATTGATGAGTGCCTGACGGGAGCTCATGTGTGCCTCCGTGACGAACTCTGCTTCAACAGGGAGGGATCGTACGCCTGCGCCTCGTGCTACCCCAACATAGCCCTGGTGGGAGGAGGGACCAACTCTTCGGCTCCTGTCAACATCAAACGGAGGGTGCCTTTTACCGTGCAATCTACCGTAACAGTGGACTGTGACGTAGCCTATTCCCTCCTCTTCAACTGGTCTCTGTACGCAATGGATGATGGCGGCCTACCGTCCGCAAATATTGCCCTTCCTGAGAATGTTGAAACAGCCGGATCTGAACTCACCTTACCGAAGAACGTTCTGCCGTACGGGAAGGTCGCCATCCGGCTGGAGGTCACGGTGGAAGAGACCATGTCTAGGCTCCGTGTCGTGACGTCAGCTGAGCAGTGGGTGAATGTCTTATCCTCGGCACTCGTGGCTGACATTGCCGGTGGTTCAGCAAGGTCCCTAGCCCCAGGATCCGACATTGTCCTAGACGCTTCGTTTTCTACAGATCCAGACGCCATGGTGACGGAGTCAGCAGACCTTGCCTATAACTGGACTTGTGTAACAGAAATAGGTTAGTAACACAACAAGAAAATCATACATATGATATTGTGACCCTTACCATCACTTTGTTTCATGATGCTATTCGTTGAGAAGCTTTAGAATAATACACTACCACCGTTCTATTTTGTCGATTTTAATATCATAGGAACTTCCTGCGACGACCTGTTTAGGGATGGAGGAACCAACCAGTCATACGTTATCTCTTCTAAGGACGTCGACACAAGTGTAGGCCGGTTGATTGCGCATCTTAGCGTGTGGTTCCCGGGCAGGTCCCCCGGAACGACGTCTCAAATCTTGGAGATTTTCTCTGTCGGATCTCTATCTATATACATCAGGTAACTTCGTTTTATTTTATTCTGTTGTTCAGATGTGAAGCACGGGTGTGCTCCCTTTTTTGTGCGATTTTGTTTTGGCACTGACATTTTTCTCCTTTTAGATGCTTCAGCAACTGTGATAGAAGAGTCAACCCATCGGAGAAGCTGGTTTTGGTGGCAGAGTGTACAAATTGTGAGGAGAAGAAAATGGTCAGTTTCAACTGGACATTACAGGAAGCTCCGGACGAGTTTGGCAGGTCCGATTTAAACTGGGACACCGAGAGCACCACGGGAAGGAACCTGCCTGATGTCGTCATCAAGCCAGAAGTCTTCACGGTAAAACTTGTAACGCATGTATTTACGTAACTCCTAATATATTTGTACAGTAAGTAAAAAAAGAAAAAAAAAAGATTCAAATATTTTAGCTAATTTTAACCCCGAAAATCTACAAAAGCTGTGTTTGAACCAGTTCGGACACTACTTTTATACACTTATCATATGGCAACTAAGTAAGTAAGTCCTATGGCAATATCTCATGGAAAGAAAGATAACAATCGCCCTTACCCGTGTGTTAGGCTTTAGGAGACTATACTTTAAGAGTGGAGACGACGCTTGTTGACGGTCGTCATGGGTTTGCTGAGTACAGTTTTGTACCGAACGAGCCGCCTGTGGTGGGAAGCTGCACAGTCAGTCCGGAAAACGGAACAGCCATGGTGACAGAGTTTATCATCACTTGTACGGGTATGTAATCACATTTGCTATTAACCTTAAGCTATGGCGACAGACTTTTATAAATTAAATCAGTTGTTACATTGCAATTTTGTTACACAATTTCTATCCTTTGGAGGACGGTGGATCCCAAATCACACGTGTTACCCTTGTACACTTACTTTTTTGTAGGGTTCTATGACACAGACGAGCCTTTGACTTACCATTTCCTCTTTAACACGGACGCTGCTACTGGATTCTCTCCGCTGTACACCGGCATGGTATGTCTTTTTGTAGTGGTTCCGAGGACCTGCCAGTTCTGGTCTTTATTGTCAATAGAAAATATGATTTCTTTTTGTATCTATTTATTTATGTCTTGATAATAAGACAATTGGGAAGCTCCAACAGCAACATTCGCTGATTTTTTTTTCTTTCTAGTATTCAGCAACTCCATCGCAGCTCTTTCCAGTGGGCCAAGAGTCCCGTGACTTTGTCGTTAAAATCCGCGTTGAAGTAACAGACTCCTTCGGAGCAATATCGTATGTCGAGACTTCTGTCAAGGTCAGGTATATGGCAAATACATAACAAAGCCTTTACTCAATGATCTGAACATAGTTCCGTCCACACCATTACTATAGATAGAACAGGGGAAATCGTATTTCTTACGGAATTAGATAAACCATGCAATATAATTTCCATATTATGAAAAACTTAAACTGTTCTCCAACTCAAAATTTGACTCACCAGAAATTTTCGACTGAATCATTCAGTCTTCCTCAGCTATCTGACCCAAATGCTGTCAGCAAAGGGTCAAAGGTTGTCTGAAGTCGATATCGTCCCCCGTCCCGGTTGAGCGATGGTTGAAGTGCCCTGATGTATATGGCCTCTTTTATGCCTCTCTTAGGTCCTGGCACTTCCAGCAGATCAGTCCACAGCCGTAGTCTCGCAGCTCGTGGTTGGGGAGGACAGTCCTCTAACCCAGCTGGTGCGGGAAGGAGACGCCAGGTCCTTGGTACAGATGTCCAACAGCGTCACGTCTGTCTTAAACACGGTCCCGACTAACGCGTCAGCCGAGACACGGAGGGTAGCCACTGAGGTGTGGATAGTTATCAATAGACTTTTGAAAACATTTGCCCACTTTAGCCAAAGCAAATTGAACATAATAGCTTTTTGGAACCTTTTTCATACCATGCAGGCCAGAGAGGCTGTGGTAGCTGCATTGACGACCATCAAACCTACGAGCGTGTCGTCTGTGAACCTTGTAGCGAGCGCGCTGGGCTCGGCCACAAGCGGAGGGGACGACGTGTCAGGCGATGCACAGGTAAAAAAGACATCCCATCTTTAAGACTTCAACACGTATATGGACGGCGTGGTTGTAGAAAACAAGTAATCGTTTCTTCTTTACCAATTTCTAGGTTGCCACAGCAAGGTCCTTAAAGAACATGGGGGAATTTCTGCAAAGCTTACCTCCTGAGGAACTGGAGATAACTCAAGTAGAAAAGACTTCATCCGTTATGTTCGCAGGTAGGATAATGGTTTACAGCTACGTCTACGAAAAGATTGATTCGATTGTCCAAATTCCCCCGTCTGAACTACACGTGGGGTCGTGTACATGTGGCGTAACTGCAGAATGCTCGACTCAGAATCGAGAGGTCCCGGGTTCGAATCATCTTGCCGCCGATCGTTTGCCCTTAAAATTTCCCCACTTCACTCAGGTAAAAAAGAGTATTGTTTTGTCCTGTATTTGTCGTCTGCGTTGACGTCTGCGTTGTAAGTAAGTTGAAAACTGAGTGTACCGTCACCATGTCTAGTTATGAATAGTTGGAATGATAATAAAAGAAAATTCACGCCACATTTATGTTCCTTTACTTCTGCAGCTGCAGTTAACATCCTAGCGAGCTCGTCAAAAGCGTCAGGCCAGGCCATCGACTCTACAGTGGGGAACACTACTGACACTAACGGCCTTAATAAGGTCAGGCCCCTTTCACTTACTGTAACATGGGGTTGACGTTTGTTTTTTATTTTACAATTTGTTTTGTGTATGTAGTCAATTTTATTAGCAAAATTAGCACGTTTTGGACTTAGAATTCAAGGAAGGTTCAAACTTACTGAAAACCTACAATAAGTCTGTCTGACCCTTTTAAATACTGTACTTAAGGCCAAGGAGGCAGCAGAGGGCATCATCGGCGTCATTGACTCTCTGAGTAAACTGGTGATCAGCCGGAAACGGCCGGACGCCGAGCCGACAGTGATCAGCCAGGGTCCGTTCCAGCTCGCCCTGCAGAGACAGAGCTGCCGTGACACGGGACCACAGATAGTCAGGCCCACGGGACAGAGCGACACGTGGTTCCGGATCCCGGGATTCTCAACTCTCTTTGGACAATCTTGTGGACAGTCTATTTCCATTGAGGTGATATTTTACGTCGTTGTAACATTTTTCCAAAGAAATTTAGTACATCACAAGCATCAATATTAGATTCAACGCGTGCGAATCTATACTTTGATTCTATACAATCCATATAGAGGCCATAAAACTGGCCTTGATTGAGTCTGTAGATGTCTAGGATTAAAAGAAAAGTCAACGCGTAATATTTCTCTAAAAATGTATCGTATCCAGAATCGTGCCTAATGAGGTAGGGTTAGTATCAATTACGGTTCTGAATAGTCTCCTCGTATCGAAAAATATAGATACGCCCTTGTCCTGGTGCTAGATACAAGTGGACTGTGCAGGAACTTGCCTGACCATGGTTCTGGATAAAGCACGGTTCTGGATACAAGACCAGCATAGGATTAGTATGACGTAACTAATAGAGACTTACAAAATACCATTTTGTCTGCACTGTAGAACTACGAAACATCCCTGAATCCGTACTTCTACGCCAACAACTCGGACAAGATCAAGTCACCGGTGGCGTCACTGAAGTTCAGAAGTGATTCAGGTCCGGTTGAGGTCAATGACCTGCAGGTACCCATTGACGTCATGATGCCACAGAAACCAGGTACTGTGGTGGTGCAGACAGAGCGTGGGGAGACCACACCGACTGGACAGGACGTCATGTCGGTGAGAGAATACTGTACTACTGTAGTGCCTGTATCTACATTTCACTGTAAGACCCGGACACAGACACAGACATCGTAAGATCATCTGACGATCGCAAATTAAATGCATTCTTGGGATAGTCCCACACGCAAAGTTCTGCTGTCGTGTTACATATCTTTGATCTTTGTCGGTAGTTTATTCTGTCAAACTTTGCTTGAAAATTCTACGGCACCACAATCGTCCGACGAATGTGGCGATGGCGTAAGGTTTTTCTGCAACTCCCATGATTGATATCATGGCTCACATGTGACCAGTGACATGTATATGGATTAAGAACATGTATTTTCAGGTACATAACTTTACCATCGCTGAAGGTACCAGCTCTGTCCATGTCGCCGTCACACCTGACGTGGAAGGAATACCTGTTCGTTTGTTCCTCGGTATCAACAGCGCCCCCACCCGACAGGTATTTCGCATGGCAACATCCGTGCCTTCGGCAGCCGGTTCGCTGTACTCCATTCCATTAGGAAACGACTCTTACCTTCGACCGGATCCTTTCCAATGGCTCTTGTCCGCTAGTGACTTGGGACTGACCGGATCCGAACAACTTTTTCTTGGTAAACACCCCTTATGTCTACTGGTTTTGACCAAGCACCGCTGCTAAACGTTATCATTAATGACAAGCGTACATGATACATGATAAATGTTAACATTGGAAATAGCAGTTAATATGTCTTCACTGTGCTACAAAATGGCCATATATTGCCAATTACTGTACTTCTATTAGCCTGATTTCCTAGGTACCTTATGCTTTACCAGCCTAGCTCACCACCCCCACCCCTATTTACGTTTGGATACTGTAATAATCATGTATTCATATGTGCATACTTTACCCTGGATCATCTTTAGATTATTATTAATAAAAAAAGACACAGTTATACATGGGGTATCCAAGAGAAAAACTAAGACAGTTTTTTTTTAATCTGATACGTTTTTAATTTTCAGGTGTGGACCACGAGCCTTTTACAGATGACCCCTATATTAACGCTGGCACAGTCAGGCGGGGTAACCTGTCAGAAGCTTTAGAACTGGGATATGGTGGAGTAAACTTCACCTTGAATTACACTCTCAAGATCTTCACTTCTACCTGTCTTTTCTTTGACGACGATCAACAACTGTGGAACACTGAGGGATGTGAGGTATATGTCAAGTTTATCAAGAAGATATATAGGATTCCATACCTAAGATAACAATGATTTTACCATTAACGTTACATAATTCAGGGTTACTCTTCCCCTCCCTCCTGAATGTAGCCACTATGTATTATGTTCCTCTCGCCCATGGGATATTGATAAGTAAGTTTCAGTTTTTATTTATTTCCTATGATGTTTACATGTCTGTAGGTTGGTCCATTGACGACCACGTCATTGACACACTGCCTGTGTGACCACCTCACCGCGTTCGGATCAGACTTCAAGTTCTTCGTGGCGCCGAACTCCCTGAACATCCTGGAGGCTCTGGAAGGGTTTACAAACATCATGGAGAACCCGTCGGTTGTCATCACCATCGGAGTCCTGTTTGGACTTTACCTACTGATTGTCATATGGGCAAGATGGGAGGACAAAAAGGATGGATTAAAGGTAAAGCGAATACTTAATTTGATAAATGCCGAGTCGCTTACAACAATTGCTTTAGAATCTACTTATATATAGCTAAGTTTCATATACGTATTTTTTTTCTAATGGCAGGTGGGTGCTACAGTGTTGGAAGGGTCAGGTAGAGGCAGCCATACGTACGAAGTCATGGTGTACACCGGAACCCGGGCCAATGCTGGGACCAGTGCAGAGGTAAGGTAATTCATCAGAACTAGAAAGGTTACATTTACATTTGCCGATGCAGTATTGATCAGCCAAACAGATCTGAGACCACCTCTACACATTCTGGCATCTTAATTCGTGATCTCTGTGGACAAAGACTCAGATCGTGATCTCTATTGGTAGGATCAGTTATATTCTTCCAGACCGCATTCTCTGCCCTGATATCTGAATATCCCCATGTCCCGCAGGTGTTCCTGGTGCTAAGAGGAGAGTTGGGCCAGTCTGTCCCGTACGTGTTGGAAGACAAAACCCGCATCACGTTCAAGCAAGGCGCTGTAGACACATTTGTGGTGACGTCTGCCTTTCAACTGGGTCCAATATATGCTGTCCATATTTGGCACAATAACATTGGCCCTGACCCGTCCTGGTAAGGTTTTCCTCTTGCCAATATTTACCTACATGAAAATGTAGGTATTGTTTTTGAGTGTTAAAGTGTTTCTATGGACTTTGATTTGTAGAACTTTGGTTCTATAGCTATTCTACATTATGATGAGCTAAGCAAGTATCAGATTCCAATGTGCTTTCTATATGGCAACTTAAATGTTTAAGGAAATGTAAAGGTTTAAAGTATTTTTATACAATGGTACAAAGGTAAATTCCTAACACCATACTATTGCCAGTTTCCTTTGATTATGTCATGACATAGGTACCTTGACCAAGTCATCGTTACTGATCTCCAAGATGATGATAGGCACACCTTCGTGTGCAAAAGGTAGGTTTGCCATTTTATTTTGCTTAAGCCTAGAATAAAAGAAACCATGTTTTCTATTCTATAACTTCAAATTTATTGTTCAATTAAACTTGCAGTCCTAATCAGGGTTGAATTGCATGAAAACGACAGATCATCAAAGATACAAGATTATCAAAATGTGTTGGCATCAACAATAGCTCGGGCAACACATCGACGGCAGCGGTCTTGGAATTAACGAGTTTTCCCACTATTTGCAGACGCTTTTACAATACACATGGCTTGATTCGTATCTTAATCAACAAAACTCAAACATTTAGGTCTTTACTTAGCTTGAAGCAAATCTTCCCGTTTTGCATCCCTTCTGTCTTTTTAACCGTTTAAAGTGTTCAACATAATGGTCCCATTGCTGACCTTGTTTTCCATGATGTAATAATATAACAGCTGGCTGGCAGTAGAAGAGGGGGACGGAAAAGTAGATCGGGTTCTGTATAAGGCAAGTTATGACGATCTGGTCCGTTTCGGTCGTCTTTTCTCCAATAAAACTTCCAAGGACTTCCGTGATGAACATCTGTGGTTTTCTGTGATTGGTCGACCAGCAACAAGGTAGGAGTTCATTTGAAATGAACTTGACGTATATTTATATCCGATCTATGGCTATGAATATCCCTACTACTATTATTAATATTAGTAATACTACTTCTACCACCACTATACTAGTACTACCACAGGAGACTGATACAAATCAATAAAGGTTCGTTGAGTTACCTATCCTAAAAATTTGTAACAATATGTTTATAAATACGAGTATATGCTGCATGTGATATAAAGTACAAAGGATATGGCGCCGGCGATGATGTTGGAGATGAGGTATTAGCAGCTTGCATAATGTGTATCCAGAACGTTTAGAACAATACATAATGGTCGTCTGACTCTACAAACGATAATAATGATATGTTTTATAACTTTTCAGTCCCTTTACCCGAGTGCAGCGCGTCTCCTGCTGCCTGTCTCTGCTGATGTGCACGATGCTCACCAACATCATGTTCTTCGGCCGGGGTCAGACTTACCAGAAGCCAGCTCCAGTCTACATACTGGGATTCCAAGTACAGTTTCCCATCTCCTGGGGCGAGGTACACACAGCACTGCTAGCGCTTCTAGCAACAGCTTTAATTTTGACGACGTTTAAAGTTAAATCCTTGATCCAACACAAGGACTTGTTATCAACTAAATAGACTGACCCAGTAAGACTTGTCATGAGATAGAAAGTTCAAGGTGAATGAGCACCACAACCAACCTCCACCCCGGTCCCATGAATCCCAAAAAGCACCGGTCTAGATAGGGTTGATCCAGCTAACTTTACAGTCATACATTTATACCGACAATAATTGTAACCATAGTGTTGGAGGTTGTGATGACTAGTTCCCATAGTTACAGAGTTACTGTATCTTGAGCTCACGTTGGACTGATGTAACTGAGTTCTCCACCACCGTCATACTAAGGGATCTTTATTTTATATCACCTATTACAGCAACTATTCATATCAATCTGCGCTATGATCGTACATAATGTGCTTTTTGCTTCAGATAATGATCGGTATCCAGAGTGCTCTGATGGTGATTCCTGTGAATCTGCTCATTGTCCAAATTTTTCGGAATAGCTCGGTCAGACCTTCCAGGAAAATCAGTACGGGTAAAGATATTTTTCTAATTATTTATAGGAAGTTCTAAAGTTTAGAATAGCCTTATTTCTTAAGATACGACTGCCATTTTTTAAAAATCCCAACATGTAATCACCAGACGTGGTGACGACACATTCAAGTTGTTCAACTTATATCAATGCCACCACCAACACAGGGGACAAATACATGACAGGACAATACTCATTTACACCTGATGTAAGTGAGGAAAGTCGTGTTAAGTGCCTTTCTCAAGGGCACAAGATCGGTGGCACGTCAGGACTCGAACCCGAGAGTCTTAGTTCCGAGTCGCGCACTCTGACGCTACGCCACACGACCCTACGACTGCCATTTGGGTGGGTTTTATGATCAACTGATAGAATTCATGCAAATGAGGCAATAATGCTTGTTTTACAGTAATGAAAAGTGATGACCTATCCGTGAAAGTCGATCAACTGGCAAAGAAGAAGAGAAAGAAACGCCTTTTACCCTGGTGGTGTGTCTTCTTTGGTAAGAAGAACATTATCTTATGAAATACGTCAGTCTTTCTCTTGTATGTAGTTATTGACTACTCATTTTAAATCCACATTCTCATGATCATGTCAAGCATGTCTCGAACACTGCTAACCTAAAAGCGGCCTCTTCGTTCAACTTTGGTCGCGATCTCTATCGGCAGAACCCCTGATTCTACCGTATCTCTCTCTTTTTATCTCTCTCTTATGTATTTTACCAACTTATGTTATGTATCTTACAAGTATCTTACATCCGCAGTCAAGGAGCATATTGATAATGGTAATTAGATGTATTTTAAATTTTTGGTTCAAAATGCAGCATGGTTCCTCGTGTTGGGTACCTGTGTCGTCTCCGCGTTCTTCACCATGTTGTACGGGTTCGAGTACGGCCGGGAGAAGGCAGATGCGTGGGTCTTCACTTTCCTCACATCCTTCGTCTTCGACCTAGCCATCTCTCAACCACTCAAGATCCTCCTGCTAGGTTTCTTCTTCGCGATGATAATAAAGGTAAACCAGTACATCATCATGATCATCATAAAACTATCCATGTTTAACAGAATGCATTTGCCACATGCAGTACGATGAAACATTAACTTCTGACGTTTGTCAGTTTGTGCCTTTTTCCTCTTTCTATTGTTGCACATTATGAATTTTATGCTTACGACTGTCTTGTATTATTTTTTTCACAGAAACCTGACTCACTGGAAGACAACGTTCACCCAACCCAACTGCGTGATGATGAGTTATTTCTTAGTCTACAGGATAAAGATGTGGGTTTATCATTTATTTCGTATTCATTTTTTACCACATTCTATACGCCATTTCTATGTTATGTGCAAAACCACACGCAATTATGTGCATGTGAAATAATTGCATTGAGAAATCAACTCCAATTTGCAAATGGTGTGTTGATAATGTCACCTAAGCCTATATTCCATTAACCTTATTACAGTCGTATTTTATCAATTTATCTAATACTTATCAATCTTTTGTTACAACAAGGACATATTCAAAAGACAATTTACAAATTGACATTGCCAGACAAATACACAAAACAAATATTTGATTTGTATAGTGGGCATTTTTCTCTTTCAGTGCGCTTTACTTACTATCAGATATTTTTCAGACTAAACACATGTCCAAGAAGAAGATATCTAAACCGACTGGACCTCCTGGGAAAGACAGACTTGCGGTTGCTCGGGAAGTTCGGCTCATAGAACTGGGTCTGAGATACGCGTGTTCCGACTTTGTGTTCTACACCAGCTACATCGTTCTGTTACTGGTCATAGCGAACGGGAGCAGGGACAGTTCCATGTACCACATGAACACCCATCTTCATAACACACTTCTTCATCCTTTCTCACAGGTAGGAGTCTTTGTAGTCACAGGTCTTTGTAGTTTTTACCTCCGTGAAAAATGGAGGGATTTTTGGTGTGCCTGTGTGTGTTGATTACTAAATTTTAATTCCGCACATTTGTAGTCACATAACTTTGAACGCCTTTATGGATAAAAATGACAACTCCCAACTTTCCTTTTTAGGTCAAAGATTCCCCAACGTTTTGGGATTTTGTCAGAGATCACGTCGTTTCAGATCTTCATGACGTGAGGTGGTACAACGGAGACAGATTCCACAGGGCAGGCTTCCTGACTGATACCAGCTCATTCCTCGTCGGACGTCCCAGGCTCCGGCAAATCCGAGTCCAGAAAGGTTTGTGCCATATTCTGTATATATATATATATATATATATACACCTGACACGTTCATTCATTAGTTTCATTGTATAGTGTGGGTTAAGCCAACCTTTGAAATCAGTGCATTCTTAAAATAAAATTTACAAATCAATGAGATCCTCTAAATACAGCATGTTTGTAGTGCATACGAATTCATAGGTGGTACAAAAGGTTGACTCGGGCAAACGCTAGATTCTAACAGCAAAAATAGCTATGAGTTTATATCTTTTTGTTACATTGACTTCCTCTGGGATTTGTTTTAAAGTGCTCTCTTGAAAATCAGCCGTTCTGAACAACCCATGCATACCAAAGATCAATAAAATTAATACAAAGGCATTCGAAATCAATACCCCCGACACTATTAGTGAAACTTTATCACTGAGACGTTGACTGACTTTTTTACTTCCAGACGAAAGCTGTGATGTCCCCGCACCTTTGTGGAGAACGCTGACTGACTGTGATAAGCCTTACAGCCTGCTGAATACTGACGTCAACAGTTACGACGTCGGGTGGGAACATTTTAAGAACGTAACGTTTGAAGCACCGACCAGCTTGCACAACGTTTCCCACTACCAGAGGCCATGGATTTACCAGTATGCATCATTGAGTGGTAAGGACTGAATTCTACTTCTTTTCACGAGAGAATAAAACTTATCAGGTTGGTGAAGAATAGAATAACGAATTCATTTATTCACACCCATTTGTTTTACAAAAGCCTACGTCATTAAAGTTAGGTGTTCCTGGTTCGCTGTGTACTGAAGCTAGGTGTTACTGGTTCACTCTAAGCTAGGTGTTACTGGTTAACTGTGCACCGAAGCTAGGTGTTACGGGGTCTTAACCGTAAATTAATTGTGACACACATAAAAACTTACATGTGAGGTACCATACTGTTGCAAAATGCCCACCGACCAAATCTTTTGCTTTTGACTTTACTCTCACTCTAATATTTCAATGATTCGAGCATTCCGTTGATATTTCTTTTTGTATCGACGTTGATAAGGCTTCATACAAAACAGCAAACTAGTCTATTGTTATTTACAGCGGCCGTTCCTGATACTGGCAAACATGGCTCCTACTACGGCGGCGGTTACCTGGTGGAACTATCCAACAGTAGCAGCGCCGACATGGAACTGATAGATGAACTGCAGGAATTGCACTGGATAGATGCCAACACAAGGGCAGTTTTCATTGAGATAATCGTCTACAATGCGAACGCAAATCTGTTTGCGGTTTTGACGTTGCTAACTGAGTTTACCACACTAGGGAAAGCCTACAGTCAAGGCGAGGTAAGGTTTTGAAATTTTACCACCACTTTTAATTCACATTTATCATTTATCTGAACCTTTCTTATGCTTGTTTTGACTCTTCATTTTCAAGAAAATAATTTTCTGTATGTTTTTAGATTATGGTGGTCCGGTTGTACCCGTACACGACAGCATGGGGATTCGTTCTGCTGGGATGTTACGGACTCTTCATCCTTATTACTCTGTATCTTGCATTTAAAGAAGGTAGGATGGGGAAAACTGTGTTATTATACATTCTTTAAGCAACTCCATGAAATGTTGTGTGCTTATCATAGGAAAATTACACGTCGGACACTTGACTTGGGCTGGTGCGTTACGCTGAAGCCCGGTTATTCTGGTTATGCAGATACAGATGCAGACCTAGGTTTTTCTGGTTATTTACTTCCATGACTATCATTCAGTGCAGACTTTTTCGCGCTAACAAAAATATGCCAGAATATGCCAGAAAGAGGATTAACACAGTTAAGAAATATGTGGCCATAGAAACTGTTATGGGCCATGTTTTCATACTCTGCTTTAGAAAACCTTATTAGGGTTACATGAAACTGAATATTTCATGTAAAATATGAACATATTCACTCCAAACTCTCTCCAGTACGCCGCATGCTGACGCTGGGAATGGAATACTTCAAGCTGTTCTGGCGTGTAGTGGAGCTCGTGCTGTCCCTGTTGGCTCTGGCGGAAATCGGGGTCCACCTTTATACCGCCTACCTGATACTCGGCTTCAACAATGTTAGAACCCATGGTGACGATAGCAGTGGAGATCATAGGTAAGGATGTAGAAGTAAAGAAGTTAAAGAATATCTTTAATGAAAATTGAAATTTTAATGAAAATTGAAATTTTACATGAACATTAAAAATTCTTAAAAATTTGTGGCATCTCATAGCTATAGAATCCATACTAAACGTATCAATTACTAAAGGGTAGGTTGTTGTTTGTTTTACCTTATCGTTAATTTTTTTCTTTATTATAGAATATGAAATGACGTTTTTTTTTTCATTTCACCCCACAGGTACAATAAGTACAAACAAGCTGCAAGCTGGGATAAAATCAACACGTACATTCTCGGCTGGCTGGTCTGTGTGGCGTGTTTAAAGATGTTGTACCTGTGCCGATTTAACAACAAAATCGCGCGTGGACCAAAAGTGACGAGAAAGGCACTGAAACCGTTGCTCAGCTTCATGGTTGTATTTAGCTTTTTGTTCATGGCGTTTTGTATGCTCGGGTTCCTGGTTCTCGGCTCTAGGCTGAGTCTGTACAGCAGTTTCGTTCAGACCATGCAGACGTTGTTTTCTGTCATGCTCGGGAAAATGGACTACTACTCGGTAGAGTCGGCAGGTGGCGTCCTCGGACCGCTGATGCTGTTCTGCTTCGTCATGTTTTTCCCCAACGTCCTGGTCATGATGTTTCTGGCGATTTTCGACGACGCTTTCCAAGAAGTCATCGAGGAGGAAGAGATCAGTGGGAAGTCAGAAAACGAGAAAATCAAAGACTATGCTGTTTATCTGTTTAGAAAGTTTGTATTGAAGAACACGGATGAGGAATTTTTCACTGTAAATCAGACAAATGTGGCGGATATTGCCGAAGCGAGAGACAGACCTTCGGGTGAAACCGTTCCTAAAATACACATAAATGGAACATCGCGGATGGATTCTTCTTACGAGGTGATGGAACTTGTGGAATTGGAGGAAATTGACGAATCGGTAGGTCAAATTTCCTCCGCTGTAACACTGTATGTGGAAATGGTGTATTTATTAAATCAAATTCGAAATGCAGCTAGACAAATCTATCGAATTTCTTCGGACACTAAAATTGCGAAGTGAAGTTCAACAATGTTAGCTACACATAGTATACCTTGCATGTATCAACTTTGACTGTATATGACGTAACCTATACTACCCACCCCTGCGTCGTTTATGTTTTATACCATGATTCCACAGTACGCATTCCCTGGGATCCCATACCACATCCTACCGTGCACCAAGGGCATGCCGGTTCACAACCCTGTCAATCAACTGATACACGATCTCCACCCACTCCCCATTGAATTGCTGCATTGGATATGTTAGGTGATAAGTACGATTGTATACATTACGCGATAAGTATGGCACGTGCACTGTCATGCTATGAGTCACGATTCCGTAGAATAGTATAATTACATTGTTGAATCAAATAATTCTATACTGGAGATCTAAATAAATCAATTGCAGATATCGCTTTACGGTGTCTTTAGTTTTTTTTTCAGTTGTATGAAGAAGTTGTTTATAAGTCTTGATAATCTTTGACAGAATGTACACATGACCCACCCTCATAACATACGCTGTACAAATATACACTAGCTCCCTCCCACTGACCAAACTTATCTGGGGAGAACAAACAATTATCTAGTGTTAGGCTGATCATTAACTTCCACTTAACTAATTTATCTGTCATCTCAAGGACACAGGTTAGTCATAGCAGATCAATGACTCAAAACTACAAACTGTTATAAAGTTAACATGTTTAATAAAACTCTAACGTACCCATACACTGTAACGGACTTTGTACATTAAACTTTACTCAAAGACTGAGCAGCATAGCTTTCATGGTAACAAAAAGCTTGTAAGGTATAAACACAGAATATGATATCATGAGTATATACAAAATTGTTTAGTCGATGGCACAAAGGTACCGGTATACAAGAGCCTGGTCTATTGTCTATGGCTGCCATAGCAATACTTGTAATAGCATAAAATACCTAGTGCAACAACAACAGCTATTTCCTAGAATAAAACAGTTGTAATGTATACAAAAATGAAACACTGTCAAACTAGTCTTGTTTGGTCTTACAGATTATGACAGTTTAAAGTTGAATTGAATTAAAGCATACCAGTATATCCCTGCAGGACTACATAACTGCAACAATTGATCAAAGTTAAATAATATATTTGATATCTGCCTGGGTGTAATGTAAGACAATATGTTTCTTGACCTGATTTTGAGAGTGTTGAAAGGATGTTTAGAAGAACTGCTCCAGCTTTCTTCATCTATACATTGCTGGTGTCCATGCTAAGGAAAAAGAAAAAGACACAAAACGTTTTTACAAAACTAATAAGAAGAATTGTCCTTTCAATTTCCTTACAAGATTTTGTCATAAGTATTAAAGAGGCATGGTAGCCCCAACAGTAAAGTATATCTGGGGAAAGAATATTTCACCAAAACGCAGTGAAATTACTTAAAAGCATTCTTACTTGAAGGCGTAAAAATCCTCGTCCATCTTTCCTCTGTAAAATAAAAGTTACGCCGTTCAATGTATGTAAGAGGGATTTTAACTGATTAGTGATATGTAACTGTTAAATATGCAGATTGAAATGTAGCTTTTTGTTTTGGATGGCGATGAATGATTCTGTTGGGATTTTCTCATGAAGATTGTGATAAGTGCACCGCATTATGATTCATAAAATTTGTGAAAAGTGATTTATGGAACCTGAAATTTTTATCGACTGGATCATTACTTGATTTTTTGTTATTTTTGACAGGCAATGAAATCGACCGTTCACCACAGCTCCCTCTTACAATTACAAAGAAATTTTGATAAATTTTGATAAGGATTATATCAGTAGAACGTACCCATTTTTGTTGTTGTTGCTGTAAACATCTCCCCCATAACCGGGTTTATTGTAAAAAAGAAGAGCCACAAAACATTTAATAGTTACAGTGTACGTAATGCAGTTTGATTTCTTGTCCATGGTGGAGGGGGCAGGGCAAGAAAGTAGCAATCAAAAGGTACGGAACATAAAAATGGGTGCCATACTTTTGTACATAGCTGCTTGCTAAAAGAGGCATGGAGCGATCACATGTATAGCATTGGGAAAACTTAGAATTGACAGGGAAATTGAATGCACTTACTTCCCGTTTATCATTGGTCCCATCGCCACGTCGTACATCGGGTTGGCCGTTTCCCATCCTTGGTTCTTCTGCCTATTGCTGAGGAAATTTGGAAGCAATAACAACGTATTGTAAAATGGCGTATCATATTTATCTGAACCTTTGTTTTACGTTTTCATGAAAGATGCAATTCAATCAGGTATTTCACCACTTCTTTGATTACTTCACATACCATCCATTGCTCCAACCCGGTGCTGGGTCACATTCAGGCACAACCTCCCAACAATTAATAAACTATTAAAATCACCTTCCACTCACCATGGAACCGAAGATATTAGAACAGACAGACACAAACAGACATCCAAAACTTGAAAACCCAAAACAATACTTCCGTACCCAGAAAAGTAAACATAAAATGTGCCATCACCATAAGAAAATGTACTGAATCAGTTCTGATGACTCACATTTCATTTTGTGCAGCATATCATTGTATCCAATTATATGTAAAATATTCTTTACTCACCTTTTTCGACACTTGAAAACGATGACGATGACCACCACTAGTAGTATAACAACGACCGCACCGCCTGCTCCTGCTCCAATGATGATTCCTATGGACAGACCGCCGTCCTGTGCCTCTGACTCCGGTTGGACTGTCACTGGCTTTTTCGTTGACGCTTTCGTTGGTTCGGGTTTTAATGTAGTCAGAGTTGCAGTGGAAGCCTGATCAGGCTTGACTGTACTTGATTTTGTCGTAGTAGTTTGGTGTAGTTCTGTTGTAGACGTTGAAGCACTTGGTAACGACGTCTCAGAAGGTTTTTTTGTAGTGGCAATGTTTGTGGTTGCTGAAGAGTGTTCATGAGTTGGCGTTGTAGTCTCTCTTGGGACTGTTGTCTGCAAAATTGTTGATGGCGTGACCGTTGTACTGGGCGTTGACGTTGTCTCCTCTTCTATAGTAGTTGCCACATGTGTAGTGCTTTGTAATGGGGTGTTGCTGTCGACTGTGGTTGTTGGAGACCTTTCTGTCGTTTCTTCCGAAGATGTGGTTGGTTGTACGTCTGGAGATGACGTGTGTTGCGTTGTCGTGATCGTTGTGGGTAAAATAGTAGTTGTGTCAGGTGCTGTAGTAAGTTCTAATGTTGTTACCTCTGTTGTTATAACAGAAGTCGTATCGGGTGCTGTAGTAAGTTCTAATGTTGTTACCTCTGTTGTTATTATAGAAGTCGTATCGGGTGCTGTAGTAAGTTCTAATGTTGTTACCTCTGTTGTTATTATAGAAGTTGTATCGGGTGCTGTAGTAAGTTCTAATGTTGTTTCGTCAGTTGTTACAACAGAAGTTGTTATCGGTTCGGTTGTCGCTAACGCTTGCTGTGTGCTAGTAGTGGCGTCTGTTGTTGTATCCATTGCTGTTGATGTGTACTCAGGCGTTGTAACAGTTGCTGTCGTGGCTTCTTGTGTTGTAACAGGTGTTGTTGTAGTGATGTAGGTTGTAGAAGGTTCCGGTGTAGTATGGCCTTCCTCCGTGGTTGTATCTTCAGTGGATGGCTCACTAGTAGATGTTGTCGTCTGCAGAAGTGTCGTTGTTGTATCTGCCGTTGTTACAGGATTCGTAGTTACAACGTCTGTTGTTGTCCTTTGCGCTGTTGTAGCTACCGTCGTTGTAGTGATCGCCACAGTTGTTGCTGACATACAACAGAAGCAAAACGAACAAGAATGGCGTATAGGGTATGGTACTCTTCGTAATACTATATATATGGACAAAGGCAGTAATATAAAATGGGTACAACACGCTTAATCATGATTACACCTACCGACGCATGGTGTTGTTCTATAACTGACGTCATCTATGGCGATGTCACCCCGGTAACTGGTCCCTCGTACACCTTCAAATACGACCTAGTTGAGAAGTAGACGGTAGGCGAATTACATTACCAAACTGTATGCGCACAGTTCAGTTACATAACAATGATAACAGCAAACCGTGGCCAACACAAAAGAAACACAAATTGTTTTCTCAGACAGATACAGATATGTCTATGCAAATTGAATATACATTTACGTACGTAGAAGTTTTTGTCTGTGACCAGATCCACTGTAGCCTGTTTCCAGGCGTCCCCCTGGTCCCCTGTTTGAGACCAGACCGGTGTCCCCAGTTCGGCGCTGCCTGTGAATCTTTGGTAGACGTTTAGTTCCCCTGTACTAGTACCGTACATGTGGTACCAGAACTCCAGACATTTGATGTCTGTTGACAGGACAGGGCTGCTCAAACGTGCGATGTCTCCTGACTGTAGACCCGATGTCTCAATGTACATGTAGTATCCTGAAATGAAGAAGGAAAATGAGGTATACGGTAAAATTGACAACCCAAAGACACCAGCTCCCTGCCATCTACTTGTTATGTGCAGCCTCAAAAGGTGTGTGGTTCTGGACCTATACATAACAAAACAGCAAATTGAATGATATACCCTTACCCGAGCCAGTGGTGTGATCTGATGAAGGCCCAGTGTTTGTAGTCCCAGTACTACCCTGCTGGCGTGTCCAGTCAAAGTCATCTGTGTTGTCCTGTTGGTAACCGCACAACGACGCGTCAAAAGTACAACTTCCTAAAGTAAAAAGAATAACCATGTAAACACATCTGTTGTAGAAAAAGGGATATTGATAATTTGTTCCAAAGAAATGCATGGCACACAATACAAATAACAACGTCCTGTTTGTAATGTAACCAGTAAACCCATACTTACCGTCCCCACAGGGTGTTGATCTGAAACTGACGTCGTCTATCGCGATGTCACCATACAAACTAGACCCTCTGACGCCCTCAAACACGATCTGATGTAAAAATGTGTGGATACACTCAATCTTAAAAATACCTTTCAAACATAAAGCTCTGAAAAGTAAAGTTAATGTCAACATGCATTTATAGCAACATCTCGTCCATTAAACCCTACACCACGTTAAAAGTTTGCAACATATACGTTTCTTTCCATTCTGTTTTCATATTTGGGATCAAATGTACTTTATAAAATAAAATTTACCTGGAAGTTGTTCACAGCTGCAATATCCAGTCTGGCCTGGTCCCAGACGTTCCCCTGGTCTCCTGCTAGAGACCATATCGGAGTTCCTAGCTGGGCGCTGCCTGTGGGTCTTTGATAGACCCTAAGATCTCCTGTACTGCTACCGTACATATGGTACCAGAACTCCAGACATCTGGTGTTGGTAGGCAGGGCAGGGGTTATCAGACGCGCGATGTCTCCTCGTACCTGGGGACTGGACGCCTCAATGTACATGTAGTAACCTGAAATCGATGTAAAATGATGATTGTGCACCAAAGAATCGATTTTCAATAGTATTTATACGCTAGTAAATGTATCAAAAATAGTATCCCGTCAATTACCTAATATGTTAACTACTCTACTCTACGAAGCGTAAATGTGTTATTGCTCCTACAAGTAATAGTAATAGTTACAAATTTAGTATGATTCTCTTACCATTCCCAGTAGTGTGGTCCGATCCAGGCCCAGTGCCTGTAGTCGAGGTGCTTCCGTATTTCCGTGCCCAGTCAAAGTCATCTGTGTTGTCCTGTTGGTAGCCGCAAACATCCGTGTTGAAATCACAGTCTCCTGAAATGCAAGGAGCATATTCTCCGTTAAACCTATCGTATAATAACTTTATGGTACATACACAGTAGTTATAAGGTACTTGGCCAACATCTGTGTTATGAATTTCAATGATATACATATCTTACAAGATTTAGAGTTTAGATTTTTTCGTACTTTCTGATGGGACCGCCTCTGTTGTTGTAGGACCTTGCGTTGTGGCTGCAGATGTTGTGGACTCCATCTCTGTTGTCACACGTTGTGTAGATGACTCAGGTGTTGTCACCTGTAGGGGTGTTGTTGTTTCAGCTGCAGCTGTCGCGAGATCTGTAGTGCTTTTGTCTACTGTTGCTACAGTGACTGTTGTAACTGGAGCCGCTAGTGTGGTTGTTACAACTGGGCCTGTTACAAAACAGAATCACGTTAATAGATAGATTTTACTTTATGCAGTACGCTGTATATCATGTCAGCTAGCCGTGGAAAGTAAAGTGCCTATCTATGTTTAGCTTATATAACTTTGCAACACATTACGCAGATGATATGCGCTTGAATTAATATTAATAAACCTCTTTTGCTAGTGTATATAGAGTCGTAATCATATATTGCAATAAACTATTCTATTATTAAAACAAATTAAGAAAATTAAGGAGAAGAGAAACTCACCGGCGCACGATGTTGTTCTTCCACTGACATCATCTATGGCGATGTCACCCCGGGCAGTGGACCCTCGTACAGCTTCAAACACGATCTAGTAAGAAAGATGTGGATTCATTATAACCCTAATTCTCACGAAAATTGCTTCTGAGCGTCATTAAGAACTATTTAAGGAAACAGTGCAGACTCTAATGGGAATTTAGACAAATTGGTCCATAGAAACTAGAAGAAAGTAACCAACAAATAGCTTCTTGTTTGCTGTAAATAGCATGTACGTACATAGAAGCTGCTGCCTTGTGCAAGACCCACTGTAGCGTTGTGCCAAACATCCCCCTGGTCTCCTGTTAGAGACCATAGTGGTGTGCCCAGCTGAGAGCTGTCAGATGAGCTTTGGTAGACCCTCAGTTCCTCTACACCATCCCCGTACATGTGGTACCAGAACTCCAGACATCTGGTGTCACTGGACAGTACAGGACTGATCAGACGTGCGATGTCTCCTGGCTGCCTTGGAGTGGACGTCTCAATGTACATGTAGGAACCTTCGAGAAATTGTACGTAAATCCTGTCAGTGTCTCTAGATCTTTTTAATCTACCAAAGGCACAGAGACAGGTTTTCGTTGTTAAGAGGTGAAGCAAACAAACTACTATTTAGTAGGATATGCAAAATGGTATTTCTAGATGATACACGTACATTTGTGTCTGATGTCAAGTGCTTTGCGTCAAAATATAGCTGAGCAAGAATGTTCCTTTACCTACAGAAGACCCAGTAGTGTGGTCCAATGAAGGCCCAGTGTTTACAGTCCCTGTGTTACCCTGCTGACGTGTCCAGTCAAAGTCATCTGTGCTGTCTTGTTGGTAACCACACAGTGAAGCATCGAAATCACAGTCTCCTTAAAAAGATACAAAAAACCAAGAGAAATTTACTTCAAAGAGGCGAAAGGAAGACGACGAGAAATCATGAACATATAGTTGTTCTAATCGATTGATTGATAAATTGATTGGTTGATATTGATCGATTTTGACGGAACATTAATTTTGACTAAAATATGTTGAAGATTGTAAACTCAGCAGACAGGAAGATGCTTCTCTCCACATCCAAAATATATTCACAGCGTGTTAAGTAGTCTTGGTTATACTAAAGAGGGCACAAACCGCCACATGGTGTTGTCCTGAAACTGACGTCATCTATCGCGATGTCACCTCGGTAACTGGATCCTCGTACACCTTCAAACACGATCTGGTAAAGAAAGGGATGATTGACACATTGCTAAATCCCATATGCTAATTATGTCTAAGTGCATACGGCACCACATGATGCATAGCAGTACATATATCTATTGAAATGCCCCCTGAATCCCATGGAAAGGTAGGTGCGATTTAAAATATTTCATCAAGACATGTTTTCATAATCTAATGGCTGTACATGTACTTACGTTGAAGTCACTGGCTGCCTCAACATGAACTCTAGCCCGTTTCCAGACATCACCTTTGTCTCCAGTTTGTGACCATGTCAGACTGCCTGGCAGAGGGCGGCCTGTTGGCCGTATGTAGACGTTGAGGTCATCTGTAGAATCCCCGTACATGTGGTACCAGAACTCCAGACATTTGGTGTCTGTAGACAGTACAGGGCTGATCAGACGTGCGATGTGTCCGGTCTCTTGTGGACTGGAAGTCTCAATGAACATGTAGTATCCTGCAACCGACAACGGAGTAACCGCAAAAATTAACGTGATAAACAGACTTTGACTTAACCTCATCCGGCAAAAGAAAGAAAGTCCTGTGGTTGGCCTTAAAAGTTGAATTTCTGTTTATGAATCTCATTACCTATTACAGCATTATGACCAGTGTCTAAATTAGATTTAACAATATTTTAATCATTCCAAAGACGTAAGTTCAAAACTATTGGGCAAATAATCATAACGATAAATTACAAAAATTGGTTACACACGTATTACATAAACATTATGTATTGCATATGATAGTACGATATTTTAATTGGTAAACGTGATCTTATCATCCGGTATCAACTGCCATATTTTGCAAGAATCAGCTACAATATTGTAATCTATCTTTCTAATATTACTCGTCAATGAAAAACACTGACTTTTCATCGATCTTGCCCGACGCGTATGAGTTCTATTTAAAGTAGTGTAACTATTACGAAGAACAGGAGGTAGTTTATGCTTGAAAATACTTAAAACAATGGCCATCGATTTCACATACCAGATCCAGTAGTGTGATCTGCCGAGGGTCCCGTGTTTGCTGTTCCTGTGGAACCCTGCTGCCTTGTCCAGTCAAAGTTATCTCTGCTGTCTTGTTGGAAACCGCACATATTCGTGTCGAAATCGCAGCCTCCTGAAGTACAAACATACACGACTTAGGCAAACATGCCATGCATGTGACGTTGTAGTGTACTAAAAAAAGGCGGGAAAGGGCGCGAGGCGATAGAATGTTGTCGTTGGATTATCTACATTTTTAGCACATGGAAAGATTCGCAGGGACATACGATTTTGGTTAGCTGATAGACATTGAAATTAATGTTGAAGGTTTGTGACATTTTTCCTTTTTTATATCTCGTGTTTCTGACAACCAAACATCATCAATATTCCAAGCATCAGCTAAAAATCTTCCTAGTTTAGTCCCAAAACAATGTCCATTACATTCTACGTACTAACATCGATTTCTAAATTCCGGTCAAATGACTTAGTATTGCACTTTACATTGGAAGTCCTTTTTGCTTCCTTTCTCCTTCATACCTATTGTTTTTGTCTTCCAAACATCATTAACAATGATCCTAACATCAGTAAACTCTTCCTAATATCGTTCTAAAAGCATTAGCTATTGCAGTCAACCAAACTGTAATTACCACCTCTGTTTAGTACAAACAAATCCTTGACAGAAGTGACAGTGGCTAGAATTTTATCGCATCCAATACAATCATATAGTATGTAATCTTGGTTCCCTATACATAAGCATAATCCCAAATCTAATTCTGACAATACTTCAGTTGCACTATGTACATTCATAGCTGGCGAGGCCAAAAAGCTGATAGTGGCTATATGCCTCATCGCTCCAAAGGTTATCTGTATATCACCTGGGAAACTGCCAAATTAAATTGCAGTTACCAAATCTCAATAACCCTAAGGTAAAGTAATATGAATAGAATATGTTTATAAAATATCTTAGTAAAACGAATTTTAATATCATTGTGTTATGTAACAAAATACACAAGCAAAGAAAAAGTGCACAAAGAATATTTTAGCGACACACTCACATGAGTCGATTCTATCTACATCAAAATAAATGACCTTACCTTGCTGAATAGATAAGGTCCATAGATGAGCAAACGTCAGTCCCAGCATCACATAGTTCACCTTTCTCGCGAATATAATCCGGTACATTCTTATAAACTTCAAATCGGTACTTTTTCTTCTTCACAAAAATATGTCCAACGTCTTGCAGATACACACCCGCGTCTTGGTAATATTTTCTTATAATGACTTTATCGCAAGGCAACTACTCCAAAGCCCGCCACTCCTGTTTACTTTTTAGGATCACGCCACTAAAGTCTTGCTTTCCAGGCTTCTCTGTGTCGACTAACACGTGAAATGTTTCAGTAACTACGAGTTTTGGCCCTCGTTCCACTGCCTTATGAGCAGGCTATGCTACGAAAGGAAGGCAATGATTAGTTTCTTGCTCTAGTGATGGTCAGAAGTAAACGGTTTTAAAGATGATAGTTCTTGGCTATTTCTTGGTGCATCTCAACACAACAAAGTCCCAGATAAAAGTCCCCGATTCGAGGTTATCATTCATTCAGTTAAAGACCTTTAGCCCCGTGAGTAAGCTTAAGTCACCCCACCCCAAAACCCCACCTTACTACACTGCGGATATGGCTGAGAACAAACACGTGCATTATCTGGTAGCCCGGTAACGAAGGTCCCGATACCGCTGGCTGCCCTCTACACAGAGTAGTTTTATTGACTTTATGACTATGTTAGTTTTGACATATGAGAATTTTCATCTTTACAAGCTTGTTGAGATGTATGTGTCATTTTGTTAATCTTAATCAACAAGACGACATGTTTGATATCAATGAAAGTAATAAACATACTATATGTTAAGTTCTATCGGTCATTATTGTGCCAAGACAGGGCACGTTGAAATTGTATGATGTGAGCTTTGAAAAAGCAGTAATTTCTGCAGCAAGTGAGAAGTCAAAGTCACTGCTATTGGCTAGAAAATATAGTTTGCAATGGTCAATGTTTTAGGTCGTTGACAAAGCACTGTGATGATATTCTTCCGCCACCATGCCAAAACGAACTGACGCATGACTGTGTTGTTCTTTTCTATTGTTTGCTAATCTAACATACCGCTGGACGACCGCACCAAACCGTGGGTGTGTCACGGAAATGACGTAAATACAGTTTAATATATTACCGTATTGTGGTTTCTTAACAGAATAATTGCTACAGATCAACAACAGCACAAAACTGTTTTAGTCATTGGCATGGGTCCTCATATATTTAATCAGAATCAATATTCTTTAAATTGAAGTTTGAAAATTCTTATTCAGCAAAATAATAAAGTTATTATAGTCGATTAGATATATATTGGTATCAGAAAATAATTATATTTCTTCACATTTCCATGCAGTCTCGACAGGATTTTTCCGGCAGATAGCTAGTTTAATGAGGCAATGCAAAGAAATGACACAATACACACATAATGGTGCTAAATTAATTCAAATTCTAGTCAATTATCCTCTAAAAGGTGTTACTACGTCTAGATTACTAGTAACGTACTCAGTGACCGTACTGTGAAATGAAAAAGTTGATACGTTTATTATGCCGTACATATATATAGAATTAAACAGTACATGTGGTATTTAGATTAAAATGTAGAAATTCGGTTCTATTACCAGTTATATTATTCTATTTTAGAAACAAATAGGTGAACCTAGTACGCTTAAGTGCAAAATTGTCTGTACCTAATCGCTTGTGCAGCCTGATACAGTGATATATATTTAATGTTAAAAAACAAATGGAATATCTTATATCTAAACATCTAACGTCTGATATTGTATTGTGCAATCCAGGACATGTGCATAATACTACATAACCAGACAAAGTAATACTGAGAGTGTTTCGTTTGCATTCTTTATGTTTCAACAAACACTCTTGTTGATCAGCTCCAATACACTATAACAAATAGATAAGTGTAATACAGTTCTTGATAATGTTATAGATATATCTCTAAGTTAGTAATACTATGTTAATAATATAAAGGTCAAGTGAGAGTTTTGGAATAGGACGAGTTTGTGATTTTAAGTTTTGATCGTGCAAAGTAAAAAAAAAAGATATCACTAGGTTAAGTACTGTAGACTTTGAGAAAAGAAATCTGTAGCTTCGTAAATCCCATCTGCTCCACTTTCTTCAAGAGTTGAATATACTTGAGCTTCTCACTTCTGCATGCGTCTTGAAGTGTCCGTTTCTCTCAAAGATAAGTAGAGAGATCCTCCCTAGAACGATAATATATTACAGGAGTGAGAATGAGACAATCAGTCATTGTGGATAGAGTAAACACACCTGCACAGAGGTCAACAAAAGTACACCGATATTATAAATCTTACAAGAGTTATTTTACTTCAATGTGATGTTATCATCTATACAATAGCGCTACATACAGTCATTATCATAATCTCCTTTATTGGCCTATGTATTTATTTTATTCATTCATGGGTTTGTTAAACCTTTTCTTCTGCTATTCTTACGCTGTTTTTTGTCATTGTCTGCTGACGTTTTTGTACAGTTTAAACTTCCGGTAGTTTTCTTATTATTATCCCATTAGTATTGTTAAGATTCACGCCCAAGCTACATCATAATTCCACAAGACAAGTAGACTCGCCAGATAGATGTTGCCCCCCTCCCCCTTACCGGTCGTCGCCGCCATTTTTGTTCTTGACGTACACGCTCCTGCAGGTCACCGCGATGACCGCTAGGAGGATGACACCGATGACAACCGCGGACCCGACAATGACGTTCAACTCCGTCCTCTTCAGCCCGGGGGAGCCGTCACTCTGGTCAACTTCTGTCACAGGGAAGAGAACGGATTGAAATTTGTGTTAGTTGTTTTGAATTTTTGCTTGAAATCGCCCCCTTTCAAGCATATCCGTTTTGTTAAATGGTGACGCAAAAGGCAATAAATACGTAAAATTACAAACACGTCGAAGTGAATATTACTGACGATTTCAGCAATAAGTCCTAGAGAATGACAGAAAACGTATTTTCAAGGAATTTTCTACGAAGACTAACACAAAATACGAGTTCGCATGAAATGGACCTCGTCATAAGTATTCTCACTCGCAAACTGTAGACATAGCAAAACCACATGCATCAATCCAGTCATAGAATGGAAAGGCAACGAAGCTAAAATAGCACGTACAGATAAGCGATTATAAAGTACTTTCCATCTTTAATCGACGCATTAGAAAGGTAGAAAAACCTGTCTGTGTACCTGAAGTAAATACCACAAACAACCGGTAGAACATCATTAATTTTGCATCAAAACAGTTTTGTGAGAGCAAAACTCTAACAAAAGGCACTCAGCATCCTGGTTAACGTTTTCAATTTGTTGAACTCGAAAATACTTATGTTAGTCTATTCTTGTTATGAAAAATTTAGGAAAATACCTCTCCACCCAGTTTTCGGACATAGTGGTTTTTCTTACCTTGTTGCGTTGAAAGTGTCCACATCATCCCAAACACTAGAACCGTCAGGAAATACCTAGTGTTTAACCCTTGTACAGAAAACATCGTTACAGAAATGGCGATCTTCCTTTTACAATGACAAACTTGATAGTATCAGGTTGAATCTTGGTTTTCTTCCTTCAAATGAATACCGTCTGATTTCCTATACCACTGACTGTCTGTTTGGCAGGTGCATGAGTGGGATATAGCCTAGATTTTCAGGCGTTACTAAGGGGTGGGCAAACAATCAGCATCAGTTTTTACCTTGATAAACAGCGCACACCAACCCTCTTTCTAGTATTTCCAACTGTCTTTCTATCGAGGCTACAGCTAGACAACATACAATGTTGATATATTTAAGAGAGGTAAAGTCATGGCAACGTATACACGTTCTTGAGTGCCCTCGTTTTTTTAAACCTGTACATCGAGGCTATGAAGAGGACTTTGGACGTATTAGTCATGAGCAAACTCTCGAGTGGAGCATATATGTGACGTCAGTGTTATATAAAGACCGAGGCAGTAAAAGAACAACATTAATATTTGCGACAAACACAGCTTCGTCACATTTATCTGTTTGCAATAACGAAAAGTATTTCTTTAGCGAACTTTTACACTTTTATACTTCTATACTGGAAGACGTTGTCTATACAATCCAACCTAGGTTTCCATGACAGCTTAGGGTAGTTCGGTATATAGCGCTGGCTGACTGTTTGCTTAAGTTAAAACGTTATCTAGTGTTTAACACGTGCTCGTCAGTTACCAGGCTACTAAACAATGCGAAGGGGCGGTTTGTGTTCATAGCCTGGTTAAACTATCGTATAAATCGGTCTGTTCCATTGCTAATGACAACAGGGGTGTAGAGGGATATTCTATTATAAATCTTTGCGGGTTGAAGTAAATCAGAAAATTGACTAGCTTCTTTTACATATGATAAAAATAACTGAGAACATTTTTATACAGACGTATGATCTTTATGTTAAGGAACCAGATTTTATAGAAAAAGAACAGAGACACTTGCTGCATAAATTAAATCTTTTATTGGAATTGAAGAACAGAACCAAAAAAGTTAGAACTATTTAACTTTAATTATATTGATGTGAATCTGTGCTATTGTTGAAGGTAGCTGAAGCAGCAGTTTGAACGCAAGCCGCTAGGGGACAAAATGTAACTGCTTTGTCACTTTGGATGAGACTTGCACACAAACAATGATATTGTCATAAGTGATTCAAAACCTTTCATAATGTGAGCCTATTTTTTCAGTATCTATACCAAAGTATGTAAAGTTCCTTGACATCTTTTAATTCCATTCACAAATTAATTTATAGTGTCAATAAAAATTACAGCTCATTTGCTGACATACTAAACCTATGCGTAATGTACAATAGAACTGTACAATATGGCGCTTGGCAAAGTAAATCTTTCACTGCACATGAAGTGAACTATATAAACTATAAGCTGCATCAGGAACTGTAGTTTTGATCGTCATTTGTTGTCCCCTTCTTCAGATAAACGCCATGACGTCACGTGGGCAGTTCTTCTTCACTACTTTTGTCTCTCCTATGGAAAGACAATAAGATAATATTATTATTGTTAGGGTGATTATTCATATTTACAGGTAGTAAATGAGATTTTTACTTGTGATGATGTATGAATTTAGTAAAAGCACTAGTAATGAGTGAGTGAGTGAGTGAGTGAGTGAGTGAGTGAGTGAGTGAGTGAGTGAGTGAGTGAGTGAGTGAGTGAGTGAATTGCATGATTGAATGAATGAATGGAAGGATGATTTATCTTTTTTCTTGCTTGGAATAGACATACAGATATTTACCAGAAATATTGCTATCGCTCTTGACAGAACTGGTTGGAGGAACCTGACGGAGGGGAGCAAGGGGAG